GTGCATGAAGATGGAGGTCAACTACAGCTTCTACAATACAGCCCCTGCATGATAAATGCCTTCCATCCGTTATACAATCCATATCACAGTTAAAACATATGGAGGAGGCCTTGTGCCCAAACACATATGGGTGACACTTAGGTCTGTTTTCAAAGAATATGTGGAGTGCTGCTTTAGCATTATGCCAATAACATTCCTGTGGTGTCTCATGTGAAATGCATGTGTGCCTGTGTGTGCTCACCATCATATGATGCTGCTTGCCGAGAAGTTTTAAGAAAGAGCGGTAAGATGCTTTTATGAGGCCGGGCGAGTGAGGAAGACGGGGAGGTGGGGGAGATAGAGGGGAACTGTGTTAAAGTGATCAGGGCTTTAGGGACTCGCCAGAAGAATGGCCCCGAGCCGCAAAAAAATTATACTACCATTAGCCAACTGGACACACACACACACACATGCAGACACACGTGGGATTGGGGCGAGGGTTAGAGTTTCATATATACCGTATAAACACGAGAAGCTGGACACGCTCTCAAAAAACACACCCAATTAGCTTTCTGCACCTTCAAGAAAAGTCATTGGAAGTGTTTTGGCTCACTGTCATTGTTTTGATCATTTTTTTTGTAGCGTAGGCTGTTTTGTGGTAATTTGGAGTTACGCACGCATTTCTGTTTAACGCCTGGGATTTAACATTAAGCTTCGGTTGCAGCCAGAGATGTGACAGTTTGACTTTTGCTTTTCAGCTGGCAAAGGTTCTGCCTCTGTGGGTCTCTGCCTCCATCTCAGTGAGAAAAGATTGCTCAGAGAGTCTTCAACAACACAGCATGTTTTTCACCCCGTTCACTCTGTGCCTGTTTTTCAGGATTCAGGAATCCCAGACTCATTTCCCGTCTACCACTACAATGGTCTTAAACAGTCAAACCACAAAGAGAGGGTAAGACACTCAGGGTTTTCACGGTAACTAATGGCACTGGTTCCCTTTTCATATTCTCTGTCTCTCTCCCAATTACCTCCGCTCCTTTTCCCGTCATCATTCATACATACATGCGCACACATACACACAGCTGGTGGCAGCCGGCCACTCCAAAATAAACAGTAGCTGTTGCGAGCCTAATAGCCTGTCCGTCCATCCAAAAAAAACCCTGGCTTAGCCTCGCGTTTCTCTGAGCCATTTCAACACGAAGGCCACTGTCAGCAGGCTTTCTGTGATAAATGGTCAAACACAGGCTTGTTAAGCAGGATTAGTTTGATGGATGATTATCAGCAGATGCCATTGGTGGCTTTGCACAAACCTGGCAGTCAAAAATATCAGTTTCTTCATCTGTCACGTTTCCTGGTGTGTAAAATTGCTCATTTTTTTTCCCATACCGCTACCTGAAATTGTAGGAATGGCACCATGTGTGCCCACACAAAAGTGCACACCTACTCACATAAGAGGCAGGTTGTGATGGCATTTCCATTCCTATAGCTCCAAATGGGAATAACAGGCCTGCTGACTGTGTGCCTGTGTCTCTGTGTAAGACTGCTGTGTACTTGCATCCCTTCTGCTGACACCCTCAGAGGAACAGTCAGAATTGAAGTACACTGATTTGCATTTAGGGCGGTTAGCGCCATCGTCTCACAACAAGAACATCTTTGGTTCAAATCCCAACAGGGGCCTTTTCTGTGTAGAGATTGCATATTTTCCATGTCTGTATGGGCTCTCTCCAAGTACTTTGGCTTCTTCCCTCAGCCCAAAGACATGCATGAGGTTAGGTTAATTGGTCATTCAAGAGATGTTGGGGGGAGGATATTTGCTGTGTATTAACCTGCATTTATGTGCGCTCTCAGGTCGAGTACGTGGAGGGGACTGCTTTGGTGCTTGGTTTTGAGGACCCCATGGTGCGGACGGATGACACTCCAGTGAAGCGCTGCCTACAGACCAAGTGGCCCTACATCGAGCTCTTGTGGACTACCGATCGCTCTCCGTCATTAAACTAGCACTGACACAACAAGCAGCGTGGTCCTGTGTATGCAGATGGACCACTACTGTGTCACAGCACGCCTCTCTGCACAATGACCCCAAAAAGGTCGGCAGGCTACAAAACTGAAACACATGCAACACAGATGAATGAGAACAAGGAAAACAAAAAAAGACACAAATGCACTCAAGCGATACATGTTCATGGACTAAACATTAAAGCCAGAGATCCACTCTGTCATTCTCACATTCCACACAAACTCACCTCTACACTTCATGCTATTGTCTGTACACCAGTGCTTGTAACTGACACTGAAGATGTTTATGATGTGATTATTTAAAACAAAAAGAGTGACTGTTTATTTTTACAGGTCTGCTCTGTGCCGACACCTGTGCTACAGCTTGGTAGTAAACCGTTAGCATACTAGTTTGATTCGACTGGAGCATGTCATCAAATCAAATGCTGAATCGCATGTAGAGCCAGTCGACTGTGAAACACTACTGTTAACCCAGCTATAGGACTGTTCAAGGGAAAACCTACCAAAGCCTTCCACATAAGAGAACACAGAGACGGACTGCTTAGAGTTTACAGCGTAAAAGGGACCAACCCGGACGCAGAGATATGACAGGAGGTTTTCTGTGTTTTAACCAAGACGGAGCTGGTTTAGGTGCTCTGTGTGAGTGCTTCATGCACTACACTTGGATGTTGGACATGTGCTCATGTATTTATTACCAACACTCAAAAATTGTGAAATAAACACCTTTTTTTTTGTTGACATGCTGTGTGGTTTGGTAACTTAAAATCCTAGAAATTCCCTTCTTAAGTATCCTGTCATGACCAAACATGGGACAACATAAGGTGTTGGATATCCCAGCTCGGTCAGGACCTTAACCACTAAATTGCACGAACGAATGTTTTGTGTTCCCCAGAGACTCTAAATCTACAAGACATTGATGGTCACTTAAGTACCTTCCTATAAACAGGAGAGGGGAAAAAATGCACGTTTCTGTTTGCTCAAAATTGTCCCAGTTGAAGACAAACGAGACAGTCTGTACTCGGTCTTGAATGTCCTCACACTTTGGTCCCTCATAATTCAAAACAAGTGGTGAATGTTTGCAGAGTGAGAATTTGTACCATTTTAGCTACTTAGTCTCGATTCGGGGTTATGACAGCAGCATTTGTAGCTCAGCACACATGTATTTGTGTGTTTATATGTGGATGCAGAACGCTTGTTCCTCTCTCCGTCTATGCACAGGAGATGTGTAATATTACCTGGGTGTGTCTCTAATGGAGAAGGGATGTGGCTATAATCCGACATAACGCTCATTTTAAAAGTCTTATGGTGAGGTTTTACAGAGAGAAGAGAAATGAAGTCAAAGTGTTTAAAACATAAACCACCACTGTTCTCGTGCAGTCATCAATCCACAGTGACCTGCAGTAAATCTCTGATCAGGACACACTGGCAGATTGACAGGAAGTAACACGAACAGTATGCGAAGTAATGGTTCCACGTTTGGAAATAGGACGTCTGTGATCATTTTATTGGAGGCAAGGCAGTGGACAAAATGATTACGGATGGAAATGTGCACACCGGATACTCAAACTGAACTCTAAACCTGGAGAATGATGGCGTTACACAGACTGCAAAAAGCGCAGGACGTCTGGTGTCTCTTTACTCCATCATCCTTCTCGCCATGTCGTCCTGCGAGCGAAACTAAAAGAAACACATCTGCGCCTGCTTCTGTCTGCTCATGTTTTCAATTCTTTATTTCCTCTGTTCGTCTTAGATTTACTTTGAAACAGCTGAGAAAGAACAGAGACATTCCCTAAACCCATTTTCTCTGTGTCACAAACGGGCAGACACACAAACCTTTCACTCCTCTACAAAAAGAGGAAAAGGGGGATGAGAGATGTGCAGACAAAGTCGAACAAGTCTGTGATAATAAAGTAAAATGAAGCAGAGGACACAGGTACACAGGCAAGGTTTGTACAGGTGTGGAAGTTTTCTTTTTATCTGTTAGGTGACGGTTACATCTTCTCACCTTTGCGGGGGGGATGAGAAAAAACGCTTCACTTTTGCGCTGCTTCACTGTGTTTTTACAACCCTGCGAGCCTGCCAGGGGAACTTAATTTATCACTAACGTCCCATAAAGCTTGGTTTAATTAAAACAAACTTCCCATGATAATAAGAGGCAGTTTGCGGGTTTCTGTCTTTTTGTTTCCTTCCTTTTATTTTCAATTTTAAAAAAAGGCTCTGATGTGTGCTGAGCTAAATATATTCTACTGCGTGGTCTGTCACCTCTTCAAAAGTTTTTTTTGAAGGGGGGTGTTTTTTCTAAGATATGCAGCCTAACAAAACTAGCACATACCTCGATTTTTCTTTTCTTTTTCCCCTGCAAGTCGACATAATAATTACTGACATAATTACAAGTGATTATTCTCCACGGAAGGAAACGCAGCCCTGTTTAACGGCATGGTTAGCCCGTAAAAGTAGGCTCTAATGTGCTTTAATTTACCAGTCTCTTTGCGTTTGCGTGCGCACTGGCCATATCTGCGCGTGCTCGGCCCAGTGTTTAATATTAGTTATTGTTTCGGGATGTCTTAGAAAAG